AGTCCCTTCATCCGTACAATCCCAGGGTGCCCCTCATACAACAGTGTTAAGACTTTTTCCCTTAGGCACAAGGGAACAATAACCCGTTTGCCCCATAGCAAGCACCCCTCTTGCATTGTTAGTTCATCCCGTTTGCTCGCGTACTGTTTGAATTCCCCGCTCCCAGTCTTTTCCGGCCACCCCCTCGTCACCCAACTTGCGACCATCTGGATCACGTGGTCTTTGTTGGAGGCTCTGGCTACCTCTGCTGATGTGATGGGTCCCGAGTCCAAAACGTCTATCAGCAGGATGGGGATGCCGGGTGTGGGGTCGTCCAGCTTGTCTGGTAATGGGCAGCGGCTGAGTGCGTCGGTATTTCCCATGTCCACCCCTGGTCGATGTACCAGGCGATAGGAGTAGGCTGCGAGGAAGATGGCCCAGCGTGTCATCCTGGGCAATAGGGCTGCCGGTGTTGGTTGGTCTCCCGCGAGGAGACCCAGGAGCGGGCAATGGTCGGTAATCAGGTCGAAGTCCCTCCCGAACAGGTACTCGTGGAACTTTTTTACTCCCGAGACGGCGGCGAGGGCCTCTTTGTCAAGCTGACTGTAATTCCTCTCGGCGCTTGACAGAGTTCGGGAGTAGTAGGCGATGGGCGCCTCTAGGCCATTTGGGAGTCTAATTGTACATTTATAATTGGCGCATATGCGCACTGACCCATCTGGTTTCACGGGTGTCACAATTGGGGTCTCCCATTTGGTGTGGTCGACTGGCACAAGCACCCCTTGCTTTATTAGCTTGTCCAACTCAATGTCTATCTTGGGCTTTAGGGCGAATGGCACCCTCCTAGGCTTTAAATGGATTGGGGCAACGTTGGGGTCAAGGTTGAACAAAATAGGGGTCCCCACATACTTGCCAAGCCTTTCGTCGAACACGTCCTGGAACTCCTGCATCAGGTTGTCCCTCAGGGTGCTCTGGATGTTCCTCACTCCGGTGAATCCCATGCCCAGGGCTCGAAACCAGTCCATGCCCAAGAGGCTTGGGAGCTTGCCACTGACGATGGTGAGAGGGAGTCTCTCGCTGAATTCCCCATATCGTACCTGGAACTCGCCAATTCCTTCACTGGGATGCGGTTCCCTTGGTAATCTTTAAGCCGGCGTCGTTGTGGTTGGAGCTGCCGCTTGTGTGCGCTGGGGATGGCTTTCTTGAGGTTGGCCCACGACATGATGGATATGGGAGATCCCGTGTCGATCTCCATCTGGCACTCACGACCCTCGATCTCGACCGCGGTGTAGGTCTTCTCGCTGGGGGATGTGCAAGTCTGGCCGATGCGGATGGTGTAGGTCTCTATGTCTTCGATTTTTGCGCCCTTCCGGCTTCCGCCATCTTTATTGGGCCTCTGGCACGGTGCCATCTCGAATTGGCTGGTTTGGCCATGTGGTTTGTGGCCCTTTGCTTGCTTGGCTCTGCAGACTCGAGCGATGTGCCCCTTTTTCTCGCAGAACCAGCAGATCGCATCCCAGAACTTGCAGTTGTGTTGGGGGTGGAGGCCTCCACAGCTGGCGCAGTCGTCTCTGGGTCCTCATCGATCCGGCCTGGACTGCTCTGTGCAGTAGACTTCCTCCTCGGACTCCCCTTCGCTCTCGGTGCTCACGGCTTCACGGTGCATGGTCGCCGACCTCTGCGCTGTCCGGCCATGGATGGTCCCTTGCAGTCTCTCGGTGGCCTTTACGGATGACTCTTGTGCTCTTGCTTCATCTAGGGTGATGTGCAGGATCAGGTTCGATCTCACAAGTAGCCTCCGTTGTAGCTGGACGTCTCTCACTCCGCAGATTAATTGCTCTAGGAGCATCTCATCTAGGTCTCGGTACTCGCACTGGTTTGCGGCCTTACGCAGGGCAGCGACGTACTCGCTGATCGACTCGCTGTCCTGCTGCAGCCTTTGCCGGAACTCGTACCACTGGACGTACTTGGAAGGCGTTGGGGCATAGTGGTCTTTCAGCAGGGTCTGCAGCGTTGACCATGATATGGTGTGGACCGAGTTCGGCTCCGCCAGGGCTTCGGCTGTGTCAAATACTCGTGGCCCGCAGTGGCTCAGGAACAGAGCCTTCTTCCTCACGTCCGGTAGTCCTTGCAGGTCGTTGGCCACCATGAAGCACTCGAACCGGGACATGTAGGACCCCCACTTCTCCTCCTTGGGGTTGAAAGGCGCTGGCGGGATGTAGGCCGACATCGTTCGCAATTCTCCTGTGCTCCGCTCGCTCGCCTGGCTGGATTCTGTGGTCGGGTGTTCCGCTTCTCTCTCGGAACGTGGTTTCAGCTCTTTTCGGTTGTGGCTTCAGCTATTTCCTTGGCTTCTGGCCTCAAAATCCCACCTTCATCGCCAATGTTAAATTGGGTGAATGAGGACGCAGCAAGCCAGGCAGTGAGTGACAACAGCTCTGTTTATTAGGGTGAGAACCCAGCGACTGACCTAGGGAAACAGCTCCCCTTATATACCTTGCAGTTGTGGTGGTCAGCCAATCAGCTGAGGGTCAGTTAATTCAAACTTCCCACCAAACAAACCTATTTACATAACACCGCTGTTAATAGGTGCAGGGTTAGATAAAGTGTTCCCTATTTTGACTACTTGCTGCTTGTTTGATAGGAACACAGCTATCCACTTATGCAGGAATCCAGAAATGCCATAAGATTTTAGTTTTAGAAGTAGCTTGTTGTATACCACTGAATCGAAGGCTTTACAGAAGTCTATATAAATTGCATCTATTGATTTACTCTGGTCAAGTTTTGAAGTCCATATGTTTTTGCAGTGTAACAGTTGCAGATTGCAGGACAATTTTTTTCTAAAGCCAAATTGCTTGTTAGAGAGTAGGTTGTTAGTCTCTAAGTAGAAGATAATGGATTGGTTTATGATTGATTCCATGACTTTGCAGGTGATACAACATAATGAGATTGGTCTGTAATTATCAACTAGGCTGGGGTCACCCTTTCTGAAGATAGGGATGACTGTGGCTAGTGACCATAAGTTAGGTAAGGAGCTGGTTCTGAAAGATATTTCATAGATTATGCTAAGTGGTTCTGCTATGGTGGTTGAGAGCTTCTTTAGGAAGTAGGCATATAATCCATCAGGGCCAATCGATAGAGATGGTTTTAGGTTGCATAGTGCCTTTTCAATGGCATCTTCTGTGAAATCGACCTGTAGTAGATCGTTGTGAGTAGATGTGGTACGATTGGGAAATGAGGGGCATGAGCCATTGCTGTTTACAAAGACTGAACTGAAGAATGTGTTGAAGAGGTTGGCCTTAATGGTTTCATCATTACAGTCTTTTCCGTTTGGTCCTTTTAGTGGTGGGATGGATCTTGAGTCTTTAAGTTTGTTGTTTACGAAATTGTAGAAGGCCCGGGTGGATTTAGTTCGTATTAGCTTTTCCTCTTGTTTGTTTGTTTGTTTGTTTGTTTGTTTGTTTGTTTGTTTGTTTTATTTAATTTATATACCGCCCTTCTCCCGAAGGACTCAGGGCAGTGAACAGCCAGGATCAAATACATAAATATAAAAGTTAAAAATAATTTAAAATCAGATTAAATACTTTGGCCCACAATTAAAACATCCCATTAAAATCCAATTTAAAATTTAGGCTAGCCTGGCTTGCTGCAATAACAAAGTCTTCAGGGCATGGCGGAAGGTGTGCAAGTCCGGGATCCTCCGTACCTCCGGGGGCAGCTCGTTCCAGAGGGCAGGAGCCCCCACTGAGAAGGCTCTCCCCCGGGGGGGCACCAGTCGACATTGTCTGACCGACGGCACCCCGAGGAGCCCCGCCCTGTGGGAACGTACTGGCTGGTGGGAGGCTGTCAGTAGCAGAAGGCGGTCCCGTAAGTACTCAGGTCCTAAGCCATGGAGCACTTTAAAGATGTTAATCAACACCTTGAATTGCACCCGGAAGACCACTGGGAGCCAATGCAGCTCGCGCAGGAGAAGTGTTACATGGAGCGCCCCGCCGCTCCCATAATCACCCGTGCGGCCGCATTTTGGACCAGCTGAAGCCTCTGGATGCTCTTCAAGGGGAGCCCCATGTAGAGAGCATTGCAGTAGTCCAGTCGGGAAGTGACGAGGGCATGAGTGACCGTGTGCAGGGAGTCCCGATCCAGAACTGGCAAATCAGGTGAACGTGATAAAAAGCCCTCCTGGCCACGGCCGTCATATGCTCTTCTAAAGACAGCCGCGCGTCCAGGAGGTCATCCAAGTTGCGAACCCTCTCCGTGGGGGCCAATGACTCGCCCCCAATAGCCAGCGATGGCACCAGCTGGCTATATCAGGACGCCGGGAGCCACAGCCACTCAGTCTTGGAGGTTTGCTGTGATAACTGATGCATTATCTGTCGGCATATGGTTTTGTAGCGACTTTTGAAGTTAGTATGTAGCCAGTTTTGTTTTTGCGCTGAAGAGATTTTTTTTTGGTCTGAAGCTTCCTTATTGTTATGGGTAATTTATTTTTCCTGGTTTTGGGAGTTATTAGTGGTACACATAGTTTGATGATTCTTTTGACTTCTTGCAAAAAAATGTTATAATGGTCTTCGGCAATGATGCAGCCAGTGAATAGAGTTTGCCCATCAAGAGATGAAAGGTCATCAGTTATGAGATCATAGTTGACTTTTCTAAAGTTATACTTTGGGATTCTGTCACTATGATTGTCTATGTGAGGACGTAAGTTGAGATAAAAGTCTATCATGCTATGGTCACTGTTGGAAAAGGGTTCTTTTATTTGTAGTCCATAAATTGAATTTAAACTGTTGCAGAAGATGAGACCAAAGCAGTTGTTGAATCTAGTATTATTAGTTACTAGTTGATCTAGTCCCAGATTAGTTACAGCATTGTACAGGGTTGCATGTATGGGTTCAGTTGTACATTTGTTTAGGGTCCAATTAATAAGAGGTAGATTTAGGTCACCAAGAAAGATAAGAAGGTGTGGGCAGGAGGCTGCACATGTTAGTGGTGATGTTAGTTTGTTTGCATGTACAAGGTCATAATCAGGGGCTCTGTAACAGATTATGAAGCGAATTGTGGTGTTTAGGGAAAGATCACATACGATGGTTTCAGGAAGAGCAAGCTCCTGTGTAACTTGAATATTTTTTAGATTTAGGGATTTTTTATAGAAGATAGCAACACCACCCCCTCTGCGGATTTCACAGTCGGATCTGTACACGTGATACTCTCTTACTGTGGTAATGGAGTCTGGTAGTGATGAATTTAGCCACGTCTCGCATACAAATATGATGTTGAATAAAGTCGTATTTAGTAGAAGGAGGCACTCTGGTATTTTGTTTAAGAGGCTTTATGAATTAAGTAGTTTGCATTTAAGGTCTGTGGCGGTGGATTTTGAGGAAGTTTGGGGCGTGCATGCCTAGCGTTGGTTGTTGGGGTGGTGGTTATTGGGGTGCGGACCATTGTTCTTACTTTTAATACAGTCAGCATGGTAATCAATGAATCAATCGACATGGTAATCAATCAAAACCGTTTCTCCCCAGTTTTGGTGTATTTTGAGTTCAGTATTTTGATTGATATATCCACCAATCGCTTTCCTAAATGTTCCTTAATCTGTCTCAGAATAGGCTGCTTTACTACCAAAAAATAAATAAAAAATGATATGCTTTTCTGCCCCCTCAAAAAATTGAAGGAGGAAAGTATTTTAATTTGGCTAGGAACAATAAGCCTGTTTTAAATAGCATCACTAATTTGTAAGAAATAGGTTTCTCTGCTAAATTAATACAGGTATACCTGGACTTAATAACAACGTTTATATTTTACATCTACAAACCAGCATTGGGAGTCTAATTTGCCTTGAGATATGAAATATGGAATTGATGCACTTTAAGAAGATGGTTATAATTTCTATATAAATTGAAAATAAATAATAATTATTAATTATTAATTAAGTTGAGAAGTTGAAGATGGTATTACTATGTATGTTCAAGAAGATCATTGTCATTAGAATGGAACATTGAAATATTAAATAACTACTTTAAAATAATCAAGTACATTAATATTAGGATTATATAAGTTTGATTAATGTAATAATTGACTCTTGTTATTTGTATTAATATGAACTATCATACCCAGAGGCCACACTGTTCATGTATTGATATTTATATGTTTAAAAATAAAAACCCAATAAACCTTAAAAAAAAGAAGAAGATGGTTCGGTGAATGTTGCAAAGTCAATATTGCAAAATAAAATATTTTAAATCAGAGAACACACATTTACGCACAGTCTAAAACATACAACTGGAAGGCTTAAACAGCAATTATAACACAAATATGTACTTTTTTTAAAAAAAAGAAAGGTGTCCTACCTGTCTCTCTACTTCCAGCTTTTGCTGAATCAAAAGTTCTTCTTCTTTCATTTTTTCTAGCATTTCCACTTCCTTTTGAGCCTCCTCACGCTCTCGCTCCAGTTCTTCCCTGTCCAATTTCCTCTAAGAGTGCAATAAAACAAACATTTGACAGCTCCCACAACTGAAATGCCTTTTAGAAAATTGGGTTTTGTGGGTGGAAGTAGAGAGAACTCAAGGCCAGTCCTGCATACCAAGAGAGTGAAGAACAATGGAAGAAGAGGAGCAGACAAGCCTTTCACTTTAGTTTCTAAGTGCCACTGGTTTTCCAAAAACAGACCACATATATGGCAAAAGTAGGGATCCCATCAGTCCTTCAAAAGCAGTTTGAAGGCAGTCCCCAATCCCCTTGGACTTTTTTCTCTATTTCTGCCACCTTTAAAACACTGAGACTAAGAAGCGAAGAACATTATTTAAATGTTGGCTGTGCCTGGAGCCTGAGTAGCAAAACCCCCTTTTCTTCACTTCATGTGAGACTGAAATAAAATGTGTTATGCCCCTCATCTCATCTACAATGTGTTTAAGGTATGGGAAGGAAGGAAGGAAGGAAAAGGAAGGAAAGAAGGGAGGGAGGGAGGAAGGGAGGGAGGGAGGAAGTAGAAAGAAGAGGGAAGGGAAATACAGGAGGAAGGAAAAAAAGATGGAAGGAAAAGATGAAGAGAAGGGAAAGGAAGGGAAAGGGGAAATAAAGGAAGAAGGAAAGGAGGAAGGAAAAGATGAAAGGAAGGGAAGGATGAAATAAAGAACTATGAAAGAAGGAAGGAGAAGATGAAGGGAAGGGAAGGGAAAGGAAAGGAAAGGAGGGCAGGGAAGGGAAGAGGGAAGGGAAGGGGACAAAGTTCTATGAGGGACAGCTGAAATGCTATCATACTACCCTGTTTTCCCGAAAATAAGCCCTCCCCGAAAATATTTAAATGCAGAGCTGGAAATCAGGTAAGACAGCAAGAGGAGCCCCATCTTGCTCCACGCACCCCAAAATAATAAGACCTCCCCGAAAATACGGCCAAGAGCTTATTTCGGGGTTCAAAAAAGTATAAGACAGGGTCTTATTTTCAGGGAAACACGGTATCTTTCCCCTTGAAAGATCTCAAGCCCAGGAGCTCTCTGGCCTTGTGAAGCAGGAGCTCCTGCTAGTGGGAAAACAAAAACAAAGAACAAAAACTATGTTTAGTACTTGAAAGAACAAGAAATACAGAGTCAGCTCTCAAAAACTGCCCTCTCTCTGAAATTGCAGAAATCCTGAGGTGCCTTTAAAATTGTACAGAATCCCAAACAGGAGATTAGAAGCCAAAACCTCACCTGTAGTTCTTCAATCATGTTCTTCTTGTATTTGTAAATCCAATGGGCCAGGTACAAGATAGGATCTGATGGACGATGTTCCGCAATTTCAGCAAGGCCTTCTGCTAAACAAGTGCCCAGGCTTTTTCTGAGGTAGGCACTCTCCATTGTTAGTTCCCAAATATCTCTAGATTAGAGAGATCTATTAAAAAAAAACAAGTTGATTAATAAATTAATGTGTACATGATTTTGTTTCCATTACCAATTATTATAAGTTGTTTTGTTGAGTCTCTGATCAAAACACCATGGAGGAGGAGGAGGAGGAGGAGGAGGAGGAGGAGGAGGAGGAGGAAGGGGAGGAGAAAGAGAAAGAAGAGGAAAAGGAAAAGGAGGAGGAGAAGAAGCAGAAGCAGAAGTTATAATAAAAAAGATTACTTTGAAATGAAGCCAAGATAGTTTTACTCTTTCAGAAATCAGTATTGGAGAACTGGCCTACAGTTGGGAATCACTAATAGAATCTGGAATCCTGTTCAAACAGAAAACAAGCTAACTGCTACTTGAGCTCTGCTTAAGAGCATAGATAGGATACACCTCCAAAACTAGATCCACATTAGTTTGGAAAAGGAACTTTATCAATTTGAAACAAATCACAGAACATGTTCTTCTTGCTACTCACTTCCATGTCTTGGGAGAAGCTTTGTGGATAGCTAAGGATGAAGATGTTTCTCTTGCAACTCTTAGCAACTCATGCAAGATCTTAGCAACTCAGCAATACTGCAACTCCCTAGACTCATTATAGCTGATTTTGACCAGTTTTTATGCCTCGTGCCGGCAAGGGGGGTTATATGTATTTATTTATTTATTGGTTCGATTTATATGCTGCCCTTCTCCGGAGACTCAGGGCGGCTTACAATGTGTTAAGCAATAGCCTTCATACTTTTATATATACCTGCTTAGTAGGGCTTTCGCCCCCACCCCCCAAGCGGTGTTCTTTTTTATACAAAGTCAGCTTATTGCCCCCACAATCCGGGTCCTCATTTTACCTACCTCAAAAGGATGGAAGGATGAGTCAACCTTGAGCCTGGTGAGATTTGAATTCGCAGTAATTGCAGGCAGCTGGCAGCTAAGTGCTATTTAACAGCGCTTTAGTCCACTGCTCCGCCAAGGCTCCTATGTATGTGTTTATATTACATTTATGCTATATTAATCTCAAAAAGGGACACAGTGGCTTAGTGACTAAGACACTGAGCTTGTTGATCGAAAGGTCAGCAGTTCAGTGGTTCAAATCCCTACTGTCACATAATGGGGTGAGCTCCCATTACTTGTCCTAGCTTCTGCCAACCTAGGAGTTTGAAAACATGTAAAAAATTCAAGTAGAAAAATAGGGACCACCTTTGGTGGGAAGGTAACAGTGTTCCATGTACCTTTGGCGTTTAGTCATGCCGGCCACATGACCACCGAGACGTCTTTGAACAGCACTGGCTCTTCGGCTTTGAAACGGAGATGAGCACTGCCCCCTAGAGTCAGGAATGACTAGCACATATGTGCGAGGGAAACCTTTACTTTATATTAATCTCAAATGGGATCTTTGTACAGATCGAGGGGTAGTATTGTTTTTAAAGGCTACTTGTGATGAAAAGAAAAATTGCCGGCTTCTTTTATGGATAATGATGATGTTAGCAATATTCTTTGTTTATCAGATTATGATGTTGTCTTTCCACACCACCTACTCCTTTCCCTGAGATCTCTGCGGGGCATGCCCTGATGGTCCTAGAGGTTCTTGGTTGGCAGAAGGTAAAAGGTCTGGAAGCCCCAGTGGAACAGACCAGATGGGTATTTTTCCTGGCATCTGAAGATTTTATTTATTTATTTATTATTTAATTTGTCAAACATGTACTAGGTAACAGGTATAGGTATAAACATGGACATGGACATGAACAAGGAATGAGTACAAGTAAATGGGGACAGTAGGACAGGGACAGTAGGCATGATAGTGCCCTTATGCACGCTCCCTAATTAGATCTCCTAATTAATTAATTAATTATATTTTCGTCAAGCATGTATTTTATGACAAATACAAGTGTAAACATAATTATAAATACATGAAAAGGATACGAATAAAAGAAAACATTAGGGATGGTAGGCACGCTGGTGCGCTTATGCAGATCTCCTAATTAGAATTAGATCTCCTAATTCACCAGGCTTTGGTAGGAGGGCCTTTTAGAAAGGGAACTCCCTTGAAAAACGGGTGATCTCGCCTTCACGCATAGTAGCCTTATCTGAGTTCCCAGGAAAAAGTAGATTTTTTTTTTTAAATGCAACTTATGGTTGCGATGTTCAGCAGGAAACAAGCATTACACCACGGAAAACAACGAATTGCATTTAAGCTTCTTGTTTGGAAGCTATTTTTTCTCCATTCTTTGCAGCGCTTTTATGCCGGAGTTTTTAAGGCACGACTTTTGTTTTCCTTTGTTCAGTTTCGTAAGCAAAACTATATCTCTTTCTCTCTTTCTTTTCCTCAATGGGACTCAGCAGCCAATGAGATTTTCCCTCCACCCCGGATTCACGCAACAGAAGACTCCGCAGAGTCACGAGTCGGATGCCAACAAGGTGTTCGGTTGCCAGGCGACGAAGGAACGCCAAGATCGCGCGCAAGGAGCGAAAAAACCCCTCCAGGTGGAGATTGCAATACGGTTAAAGGTATAAACGAGGGTTGCAAGGAAGGCAGGTTTCATTCCCAGTCTGATCTTTTTCAGACGTTGCAGAAAGCGAGCAAAGGGTTGAACCGAGCGGAGTACGAGTTTCTTTCTGCTCGGAGGAATGAGAGCGCACAGGATGCAAATTTTTAAATCTTGAGTAGGTTCGTTCCTTCCGAATGAATTCTGAGTTCTAAAAGGTTCCGAAAAGGAGAATATTCATTTGGGTGTTAGATTCCTGTGATCAAAAAGCTGACCTGGTATTTGTCATCATTGTTATATGGGACCCTGAGAAGTTTGGGAGGTCTTTTTTTTTCTTGCTGAGAAATTTTATCTGGGTTGCAAATATATTTCTAGATTATAGTGTGTCCGGAAAGGCTACATGCCCTTTCATAGTTCCTTTCCAACAAAAGATGATGATTGATGATGATGATGATGATGATGATGATGATGATGATATATCCATTCAGTTGTGTCCAACTCTACAATTCTATGGGCCAGCTGCCCATATTAAAAAAATGACATGCATTACAGCAATAACAAAAGCCAGCAGAAATTACGAATTGAATAGATAGCATATGAAATAAAACAGCAACAAAGCAGCTATCAATATTACAGTTCATTGTATTTGCAGTCAAATCCTCTTGTTTTCTTTTATACCTTTTTTTTTGCAAGATTAATGGATTTCTTTGTCCATCACTCTGGGTGACATGATAGCAGTGTTCCAATATTTGAGGGGCTGCCTTAAAGAAGAGTGGGTCAGCCTATTTTCCAAAGCACCTGAAGGCAAGACAAGAAACAATGGATGGAAACTAATCAAGGAGAGAAGCAACCTGGAATTAAGGAGAAACTTCCTGACAGTGAGAACAATTAACTAATGGAATGGCTTGCCTTCAGAAGTTGTGGGTTCTCCAATACTGGAGGTTTTAAGAAGAGATGGACACCCATTTGTTCAGAATTGTATAGGGGTTGGACTAGAAGACCTCCAATGTCCCTTCCAATTCTGTTATTCTTCTAGTAAATTTTGATCCTTCTATTAACTGAGCATAGGTCTATTAGTTTAGATAATAATAATAATAATAATAATAATTTTATTTCTATACCGCCCTTCTCCCGAAGGACTCAGGGCGGTGTACAGCCTATTTAAAAACACAAAAAACACGACAACAATTTAAAATTTAAAATCATTAAATAATTAGGCTCCAATTAAAATCCCAGAAATTTAAAATACCCCAATTTAAAACGTTATGTTAGTAACCCTGCCTGGCGGAACAACAGGGTCTTCAGAGCGCAGCGAAACACCCGGAGGTCGGAAATCTTTCGTATTTCGGGGGGCAGTTCATTCCACAGGGCTGGAGCTCCCACAGAGAAGGCCCTCCCCCTGGGTGTCGCCAGCCGACATAACTTGGCTGATGGCACCCGGAGGAGACCCTCTCTGTGGGAGCGGACTGGTCGGTGGGAGGCTATTGGTGGCAGAAGACGGTCTCGAAGGTACCCGGGTCCTATGCCATGGAGCGCTTTAAAGGTGGTAACCAACACCTTGAATCGCACCCGGAAGACCACTGGGAGCCAGTGCAGCTCGCGCAGGAGGGGTGTCACGTGGGCGCAACGGGTTGCACCCATAACCACCCGCGCGGCCGCATTCTGGACCAGTTGGAGCCTCCGAGTGCTCTTCAAGGGGAGCCCCATGTAGAGAGCATTACAATAGTCCAACCGGGAGGTGACAAGGGCGTGAGTGACCGTGCGCAAGGCGTCCCGATCCAGAAAGGGCTGCAATTGGCGAATCAGGCGAACCTGATAAAAGGCCCCCCTGGCCACGGCCGTCATGTGCTCTTCTAAAGACAGCCGTGCGTCCAGGAAGACACCCAGATTGCGAGCCCTCTCTGTGGGGGGCAAAGATTCACCCCCAATAGTCAGCGATGGCACCTGCTGACTATATCGGGGCGCCGGAAGCCACAGCCACTCGGTCTTGGAGGGGTTGAGTCTGAGCCTGTTCCTCCCCATCCAGGCCCGCACGGCCTCCAGGCAGCGGGACATCACATCAAGGGCATCGTTGGGGTGGTCTGGGGTGGAGATGTACAGCTGAGTATCATCAGCGTACAGATGACACTTCACCCCAAAACCACGGATGATCTCGCCCAGCGGCTTCACATAAATGTTGAACAGGAGAGGCGAGAGGACCGACCCTTGCGGCACTCCCCATGCGAGATGCCTCGAGGTCGACCTCTGTCCCCCTGCCAACACAAACTGCGAGCGGTCGGAGAGGAAGGAGGAGAACCACCGCAAAACGGTGCCCCCTATTCCTAACCCCCTCAACCGCTGCAGCATGATACCATGGTCGATGGTATCAAAAGCCGCCGAGAGGTCTAATAGGACTAGGACAGAGGAGCAACCCCTGTCCCGAGCCCTCCAGAGATCATCCACCAACGCGACCAATGCCGTTTCAGTGCTGTACCCCTGCCTGAAGCCCGACTGGTACGGGTCTAGATGATTATTATTATTTATGAGAGGTACAAAAAGAAATACTATTTTTTGAAAACAGTATCTAGCATAACGTCTTCTCTGTAAGAACAAGTAAAGACATTTAATTAGGACCTAGATTCATTCTAAGGGCTGCCCTGCTGCAATTTATTTTGTTTGTTTTATTTTGTTTCCTGTAAACAGAGAACTTGGTACAAATTCATCCAGTCCCTTGGATCAATGCAAAGTGAAAGGCAAATGATGAGAATGGATGCCAAATATTTCAAGGAAAACCTCGGAATGTGTTTGGCTGAAGGACTTGCAGAGGTAGCGGATTGCCGGCCAACAGACCCCATCTGTTTCCTGGCCTCCTGGATTTACAACTATAATGAAAATAGAAAGAAAGAAGAAAAGGTGATACATTAAAAAAAACAACAACCAAAGTTGAAGAAAGCTTGTCTCAGCAATGATTGAATCAAATTGTATTTCCTCCCAATTTTCCTATCCCTTCTAGAAAAAGTCCGAAAAGGACCACCTAGAACTTCATTATGAAGAACTTCTGGCAGAATTGGAGAGTACAGAAAAGCTGAAGGCAGAAGAACTTCTGATGGCTCAAAAATTTGAAGAGCAGCAGAAGGTCTGGGTCTCTTAATTTTACACTAGAGTACACTAAAATACAATGGGCCATATTTGGCTCATTGGTGTAATGAGAAAAATTGTTGGAGCAGTTGTAAAAAAATGCATATTAAAAAAAGTGTCTGTTCCTAGAGTGCGAATGGATGGATGGCAGATGGATGGATGCTAAAATGGTTAGATGGCTAGATGGTTGGTAGCTGAAGTAAACTGAATGCAGTTTTATTCTATAAAGGATAAAGAGCAAACAGAAGATACTCAGAGTTTCCAAGAGCAAACAGAAGATACTCCTGAAAAATTAATGGAAATAGGTGGAGCATCACACCAACCTTTGAGAGAAGAGGTGGCTGATAAGAAGGCAGATGAAGTGAGTACCTACTTTAACAAATGCACTTGACATACTATTATTAACAGCAAAACCAGGGCTTACTTTGCATTAAAATTATGTTTACCTACTGGAAGTCACCCCAGACTCGTGATGGCAAACCTACAGCATGCATGCCAAAGGTGGCACGTAGCACCCTCTCTGTGGGCACGTGAGCCATTGCCCCAGTTCAGCTCCGCCATGCATGCACAGGGGTGCATGCACAGGGGTGCATGCACAGGGGCCATGCGCGCATTGCATTTTGGGGTTCAGGGACACGTGCGTGCATTTGCACGCGCACTTTGGGCACTCGGTCCGAAAAAGGTTAACCATCACTGCCCCAGACCCTTTATTTTGAGGTTCTTCACATGTTCAGAGAACTGGAAGAGGTTAAGGACACCAGATAAGATAACATGGTGCATTTCATTCAGGAAGATCATAGTTGCTTCTTTGCCTTGGATAAATCCATTCAGGTCTAAAAATCTGTACAGGATCTGCAACTTAGTTTTTGTGCAAGCTTAGTTCTTGTTCTTATTTTGAAGAATTGAAATCAGTCTTGTTTAAGACTAGGGTGATGGAATATCTAGCAGTCTCTGAGAACATGAAGGACTATTATAGATAATATTTATTTTTCAAAGTAGGAAAAAAGCACGAGAAAGAGACTCATAGCAATCCTGCCTTGATTATACGGAGTGTCAGTTGAGCTGGACAATTGCTTTGGAGGCTTTCTAGATTGTTGTGAATTCCTTCAAGGCTGTCAGACAGGAAACAAAAACCACTTGGATTTCTGGAATGATATTTTTTCCTAGTAAGGTAATATAAGAGAATCTTGAAAATCTAGTGTCAATTTGTGAAGCATTCCTGACCTGCTCTCGAGTTGCCATAGGCAGGGGGATGGGGAACTGAGCCTCGTAGCTGCAGCGAGGGGATCGCACTTCAGTCAAAACAAAAGCACATTCCAGCCATCTCCATGTCAAGGCCATCTTCACTGTAGATACCCACAGTGGCCAGAGGGAGGGACTCTACAACCTGAGAAATTGCTTCATTGGGGAATGTGACTATGATACACCTTGGGGGGAGGGGGAAACAGGGTCAGAGCCAGGGCATGAATTAAGTGAGGTCAGAGTTGGCTTCACTTGGAATGTGCCGACATGAAGCTCCTAATAAATAAGTGGATTTTTTAATTTTGGCTTAATTAGGGAATTCCTTAATTAGGAAATCAGTCGGAACCCTGACTCCTAGATTAATATTGGGTTTTAAAAAGGGATTTTAATAATGTACTCATGTAGATGAAATTAATTTTCAATCATAGATGACAACCGAAGAAAAGATTGAACACATGCCAGAAGAATCTGAAATGCAAGAGATGTTAGAAAACAGAGTGGATCAAGATGACTTAAATGTTGTGATAAATGAGTTGGATGGAGAACTACGCCATGTAAGTCCTAGTTTAAAGCTCCGGGAAGCTTTGTTGGAAACTGCTGCAGATGAAGATTTAAGTCCCAAAGTCTTGAATGACAAAGGTGAAGACCAATTGGAACAAGACATAGCAACTGAGAAGGAAAATGATGTACAAGCTGAAGGTGACACTCAGGCTGAGAAAGACAGATCTACTCAGGATGGGAATTCGGAGTAATTCCACAATTCATGTATACTTGGAAGAAGATCCTGCTGTCTTCAAAAAGCTTTGTTTAAGAAAGGATGAAAATCTTGTGTGTGTGATAGTGACACTTTTCCAGCATAGTTGCACTGGGATGTTATATGGATAAGACTGATCATCAGATGGTAAGATGTCTTGGGAAAGTACGTGTACGATGTGCCTCTTCAAATCCTGCTGTGTTCTTGAAGCTTTTGTTTTTATGCTTTTATCTGTTGGAGTGAATGGAAGGAATGGTGTCTATCTACAACTGGAAATCAGTTATACAATTGATTGCAAACAAATAAGCAGTAAGATTCTTGCACAATCACACTTATGGGTGATTTGGGAATGAATTATTCTAACCGCCATGATGGACATAGTTGACACAAGACATTTTGTATGCATATAGAACAGTGGTGAAATGTAAAATTTGTTACTACAGGTTCTGTGGGCGTGGCTTGGTGGGGGAGGGGTAATGTGACTGGGTGGGCGTGGCCAATTTTTTTATATATTTTAAAAAATGCTTTTAAAAGCCTCTGACGATCCCAGCTGAGCTGCACGATCATCAGAGGCTTTTTTTTTTTTACTTTTAAAAGCATTTTTTCACCCAAAGAGGCTCAGCTGGGCATGGGGGGGGGGCAGGGATTTTTGCTACCGGTTCTCCGAACCACCCGCCGCCATCGCTACCAGATCAGGTGATCCGGTCCGAATCGGGAGCATTTCACCCCGGTATAGAACCATCCACAATGTTATAGATGCATGACACTGATTTGGAGACACATTATATCAGCTTGTGGCTCTGTATATGAGGTGTATGTATATTCTAAACAGAGGCCACATTCAGAGGTACAGTGCATATAAAGTGTCTCCAAAACAGTATTAACGTCTAGCTATATACGTATGTGTGTGTAAAATTAGACATGGTACAAATCTAAGACTTACATTCACACAAAATGCTGAGTTTTTTCTGTGATTAGGTGGCTATGTTTGAACATAGTCCACTTCATTATGGTTTAGTGCAAACCCAGAAAGTGAATTAATTCCTAAACCAGGATAAGGGTGTTATATGAATGTAGCAACACACTTTCTAAAAAAAAATGTTGCCAGGTAAAGTATTCAGTAGCAGACTTATTCAAACTTCCAAGCCAATTGTCATTAAAAGTAGTAGCCCTGTGCCATCATTATTTGAAGGAATATTGCAGATAATTACTTTTTTAAAATAGTAAATTTTTGGAGGTCAAAAAATTATTCTTAAATATACAGAAATTCTTTTTTAGACTGATGCTGTTGTATTTAGAAATAAGACATTGTAATGAACTTTTGATTATTCTAATGGATCAGCAGTGTTTGAAAAGTAGCTCAGTTTCCCCCTCTGTTATATCACTTTGATTATAATTATGTGTATAAAGCAGTGGTGGGTTCCTCCCAGTTCGGCCCAGTTCTCCCGAGCCGGTAGCAGTGACGATATGATATCACCAAACTGGTTCTGCCCCCCCGCGCCCCCCCATCCACCGCATTATTCTTACCTTAATATTCTTCCAATAATACATTTTAGCATATTCCAAAAATATATACTTGATCGAAGTCATACTGTATTCTCATTGAGAATATCAACAGTAACTTATATCTCCAGGGGGAGAGCCTTCTCTGTGGGGGCACCTACTGTCTGGAACGAGCTCCCCTCGGAAATACGGAGGATCCCGGATCTGCGTACCTTCCGTCGCGCGCTCAAGACGTTCTTATTTCATCAAGCTGGCCTGACCTAAGTTTTTCCCCTTTTTAAATGGAAATTTAAAATTTGGTCTTAAATTATTGGGGTTTTAAATTTTCAGCCAAATTATTTAATTCGTTTTACTTTATTTTAAATTTTGTACTCATATGTTTTATTCTATGGCTGTTCACCGCCCTGAGTCCTTCGGGAGTAGGGCGGTATACAAATTGAAATAATTAATAAATAAATAAATAAATAAATAAATAAACAAACTTTGTCTATTTTCTGTACAAATGCAGCAGAGTCTAGTAAGTTAAACATGTTTTGTGTTGAATAAAATGTAGCCTAAGGTTTATCAAATGTTTCCAGTAGAATTTCTCATTGCTTGGATAAAGTGGAAATTTCCAATTGCCTTTTCTATTCAGTCTTTAAAATGTATGTATCATATTAATGTATCAGCAGATATTTGTAAACACTCTTTGTGGGATTTTTCGTTTCATTAAAACTTGGTAATCACTTTAATGATAGCCTTTAATGATAGCTTTGCAAAGGTTTGGTTGCAGTTCACAAGATGGTCATTTCTGGTTTGTATAGCATATTGCAGCAATAGCTTTATTCTGTTTTCCATAATCAAAATGAGACTATTATAATTGTTGGAGGTGAAGCATAAACCATGAATCGCCTTGTAAGGGAGATGGGTGGCGTAAAAATTTAATAAATAAAAATAATGATCAGTTTGCACTCTCCATTTTTAACATTATAATTCCAAGTATATAACTTGGAATTGTCTCTAGCCTTGAGAAAACACTGCTTGAAAAACAAAGCATAGAGAAACTGAATAGCTGTACACAAAAGGCATGCGGTGAAGAGGGGGCTGAGAGTTTTTTAAAAATTGTCATTAGCCAACCTTTTAAGGGGTTTTGGGAGGGGGAGGGTTGTTTGGCGAAGGATAGGGAGGGTGATTTGTTAGTGGGGGGGCAGGCCCGGCACAGGGTCGCGTCAGGGGAGGTGCGGAGCGGGGATTTGAGGGGGTTGGTGTTGGTAGGGAAGAGGGCGATGTCATCAGGACTGTGGGTGGGAGGGGCAGGTATGGTAGGAGCAGGGGGCCATATCATGTTGTGGGGGCACGCACCTGCTGTCTCCAAGCGGTAACGTGCTCCGGCTCCCAACGCTCTTCTCGTTCCCTGGGTTGTCCAGAACCTCAGAGCTTGGGTCTTAGGCTGATGCTGTGCAACGCCAGGTCCGTGGTTAATAAAGCCCCCCTCATTTGTGAGCTGATTCAGGAGTGGGGAGCGGACCTAGAGGGTATTACAGAGACCTGATTGGGCCAGGAGGGGGGGGTCCCCCTTGTAGAAATGTGCTCACCGGGTTTCCGCGCATTTCATCAGCCAAGAGCCCAGGGTAGGGGTGGGGGGGGGGGGCGGTTATTGTAAAGGAAGGTCTTAGGGAGGCCACTGTACCTCAAGATAGCCGGTTGTGAGTCTCTCCTTGTGAAGTGGAGCCATTGGAGGCAGATGGGCTGCTGATTGCGTACCTGGCTCCTTGCTGCGTGGCAGCGGCCCTGCCCGAGCTACTCAACGTTATAGCTGGGGTGGCGGTTGATACCCCCAGGCTTTTAGTCATGGGGGATTTCAACCTGCCATCCATCGATGAAACGTCTGAGGTGGCTCGGAAGTTCATGCTTCCATGACGGCCATGGACCTGACCCAGTTAATTCAGGGCCCCACTCACACAGGAGGAAACATGCTGGACTTGGTTTTCGTCTCTGGTCAGTGGTTGAATGGCCTAGATACAGGGGATATAGTCATTGAACCCTTGTCATGGTCAGACCATTCTCTCCTTAGACTTGACTTTCTGACCACTACACCCTACCGCAGGGAGGCGGAACCGATTAGATGGCTCCGCCCAGGCACCTGATGGATGCTGATAAGTTCCAAATGGAGCTTGGGCCATTTCCTGAGACTGTGGCTCACGACTCAACGGAAGACCTGGTGGCCACCTGGGATAGGGCGGCCGCTGGTGCTTTAGATCGGGTCATGCCTTTGCGGCCTCTGACCCGGCGTCGAATCTGCCCAGCTCCTTGGTTCTCCGAGGAGCTGAGGGAGATGAAGCGCCAGAAAAGACGCCTAGAGAGTAGTTGAAGGGCTAGTTGTTCCGAATCTGACTGTACACTAGTGAGGTCTTATATCAAGACCTACTTAGTGGCGATAAAAGCGGTGAAGTGTAACTACTTTTCTGCTCTTATCGCGTCGGCAGATAATTATCCAGCCGCCTTGTTTAGGGTGACCCGCTCCCTTCTCCATCTGGGAGTGCGGGAAGATCCCTTGCAAGGGCGTGCTGAGGATTTTGCGCATTATCTGCACGATAAAGTTGCTCAAATTCGGGAAGGCTTGGACTCTGACTGGGTGGGTTCAGGCGGGTTGTCCGAGGTGTGTCTTGAGAATGTTATCTGGGATGAGTTCGACCCTGTGACCCCCGAGGACGTGGACAGGATGCTGGGGAGGTTGAACGCAACCATATGTTTATTGGACCCGTGTCCCTCCTGGTTGGTGCTGGCTACCCGGGAGGTTACACGAGGCTGGCTCCAGAGGATTATAAACGCTTCCTTGAATGAGGGTTTCTTGCCTCCTGCCTTGAAAGAGGCGGTGGTGAGGCCCCTCCTCAAGAAGCCCTCTCTGGACCCAGCCGTTTTGGCAAACTATCGTCGTTTCCAACCTTTGCTTTCCGGCGAAGGTTGTTGAGAGTGTGGTGGCGCGACAGCTCCTGCAGTTCCTGGATGAAACCGTCCATCTAGATCCGTTCCAGTCCGGCTTCAGGCCCGGGTACAACATGGAAACGGCATTGGTCGCGTTGGTTGATGATCTCTGGAGGGCTTGGGACAGGGGTTGCTCCTCTGTTCTGGTCCTATTAGACCTCTCAGCGACTTTTGATACCATCGACCATGGTATCATGCTGTGCCGGTTGGAGGGGTTGGGAGCGGGAGGCACTGTTTTACGGTGGTTCTCCTCCTATCTCTCCGACCGGTCGCAGTCCGTGTTGGCTGGAGGGCAGAGGTTGACCTCAAGGCACCTGGTCTGTGGGGTGCTGCAAGGGTCGGTCCTCTCACCTCTCCTGTTCAACATTTATGTGAAGCCACTGGGTGAGATCATCTGTGGTTTTGGGATGCAGTGCCATCTGTACGCTGACGACACCCAGCTGTACATCTCCACCCCAGAGCACCCCAATGATGCCCTTGAAGTGATGTCCCGGTGCCTGGAGGCTGTGCGGGTCTGGATGGGGAGGAACAGGCTCCGACTCAACCCCTCCAAGACTGAGTGGCTGTGGTTGCCGGCGTCCCGATATAGCCAGCTGGTGCCATCGCTGGCTATTGGGGGTGAGACATTGGCCCTCACGAAGAGGACGTGTAACTTGGGTGTCCTCCTGGATGCATGGCTGTCTTTAGAAGAGCATATGACGGCCGTGGCCAGGGGGGCTTTCTATCAGGTTCGCCTGATACGCCAGTTGCGCCCCTTTCTGGATCGGGACTCCTTATGCACGGTCACTCATGCCCCCGTCACTTCCCGCCTGGACTACTGCAATGCTCTCTACATGGGGCTCCCCTTGAGGAGCACTCGGAGGCTCCAGCTGGTGCAGAATGCAGCCGCGCGGGTACTTATGGGGGCGATATGGCGCTCCCACATAACACCTCTCTTGCGCGAGCTGCATTGGCTTCCGGTGGTCTTCCGGGTGTGCTTCAAGGTATTGGTTCTCATCTTCAAAGCGCTCCATGGCTTGGGGCCTGGTTACTTACGAGACCACCTTCTGCCACCGATAACCTCCCACCGGCCAATACGCTCCCACAGAGAGGGTCTCCTCAGGGTGCCGTTGGTCAGGCAATGTCGGCTGGCGACCCCCAGGGGAAGAGCCTTCTCTGTGGGGGCACCCACCCTCTGGAATGAGCTACCCCCAAGGATATGACTGATCCCGGACCCCCGGACCTTTCACCGGGCTCTGAAGACATTTTTATTTCAGCAAGCCGGGCTGGCTTAAAATTTTTAATTGGTTAATTTTATGGGTAAGGGGTTTTAAATTGGGGGAAACCAATATAGATTTAATTATGTTTTAAAGTATTTTAATGTTTATATTGTATGTTTTTTAATCCTGGCTGTTCACCGCCCCGAGTCCTGTGGGAGAGGGGCAGTATAAAAATTTAATTTTTTTTTTTTTAATTTGATTTATATGCCGCCCTTCTCCGAAGACTCAGGGCGGCTTACAATGTGCTCAGCAATAGCCTTCATCCTTTTGTATATTTATACAAAGTCAGCTTATTGCCCCCACAAACTGGGTCCTCATTTTACCTACCTTAGAAAGGATGGAAGGCTGAGTCAACCTTGAGCCTTGGCGAGATTCGAACCCTGCAGTAATTGCAGGCAGCTGGTCTTAAGCAGCTTAATAACAGGGTGCCTTAAACCCTAGTACTACCAAGGCTCTTGGATGAATGACTGAAAAGCTGAAGATAAAATACTGAAGTCAATAAAAGTCAACTTTGAGTAGTGTTGATATTGCTTTAGAAAATCAAACTTCATCTTAAAATATCCTCTTTCTTCGGAGTAGTATTCCACATTTTATGATTTTCTCATATATTGGTATGCCACTGTCAGCCAGATGGGGTCGCTAAAGTTTAATAATCCAGGAACTCACTCATCATTTCACCCTCTTGCTCTAATCTGCTAAATTAGAGAACCTGCAGTTATAAAGATATTATTTGCAAAACGTGCCTTAAAACTGATACAGTTAAAATGGCATAAACTGGAAATCTGGACCATCAAGTGTAGTTTAACCAGTATAGGTCGTTTACCCTGTGTCAGCTTCCTTGAGAAGACTTCAAGGAAAATATATAAAATATATATTTTACAGCTGAGCTGTAAAATATGTATTTTTTAAATTCCAAAATGTTTGCAGGAAGATGTAAGTCCCAGGGCAAGTATGGTATATGAGTACCAAGATTGATCACTATTTGTAAATTTGCTGATTGATAGGCTTACAAGTGTTGAAAATGTAAGAATGGCTTGGTGTATATGTCATTCAGCGTAAGAAAAGCTTTATCTGATGTTGTTTTTAGGAGTTTTTAGTCTTCTGGATAAATTGATGTAGTTGGTCCATCTTTCTTTGTGTCTGTTAGTCAACCAACATGGTATAAAACTGATCTCTGTATGATTTTGGCCCCTTTTCCCCCTGAGCCAAAGAATATTTTCACTTTCATACATTGGTATTAATAGCTTTGTTTCCAATAGGAATTCATCTTTGACACGGTTTCATTTTGTATCTAATTGATAATTGTACCCAGCAAGAGAAAGTAACACTTATAAACTGAGGTATTTTGTAAACACTTTCTTCTTTTGATGTGCAAAGTTGGTACCGGTACAACCAATCTGTAGAAACTTCAATCTGTTTTTAAGTCCAGCTAGTGTCTTGTGGGATTCCCCCCCACCCCTCAATTTTGCATGTTGGCTCACATCTTTCAGCTATTAACAAGGTGCAATCCATGTTTTGTTTTCAAAATCAGATAAGGATGTAATCGAATCACTCAAGAGTGAATTGATATGAAGTTAAGCATCCACTGCACTTCAGTACTCAAAACAATATCCACTATTTCATTAAATTCCAAACATTTCCCCCACATTTTGAAGATGTTGATCAGACACCAAACAGCCTGAGCAAACATTGTTATTCAGATTAGTGCTGGAAGTTGATAAAGTCTCTTTGAGGAATGGCTCCAAACAAACTTTGCTACTGTTGATGATGTTGCGTGCCAACGTCACAATTCTTTCCAAGAAAACTGCATGGGTTTTAAGAGTTGAAAGTGGTTACTTTGCACAAGTTTAGGGATGCTAATCATTTGCCCTTCACCCATTATCTTGTCTCTTTTTTTCTCTGTTTTTTACTGGTGCTTATTTGCTCAGAGATGCCCCAGCTCACAAATGTCAGGCACAAAAGGAATTGTCTGGTCAGAGTTGAATTTAGAAATTATCTTAATACACGTCTGCTGATGTTTGCACTCTTTGAAGGGATAAACAACCCTCTCCGAATGGTTGCTTAATCTCTCCAACCAGATAAAAGCAAGAGGACACCAAATCTAGCATCACTCTAGAAATTGGTTTTGTTTTTTTTTGCAAACCGAAAGATGCAGGGCTTCATTTGCGCATGCGCAAGGGTCCAACCTTGAGCGCTTGGTAAATCGCCTAGCGGCGGGGATGTTCCTTCTGCGCAGGTACAAGGCGGTAAATCGAAGGCCCGTTTTCTGAAATTATGGCGGGCGCCGCCGCTTGCTTGGCCGAGACGCGGGTAGGGCAGGTGGTAATGCCGGGGGAAGCGTTAATCTTGGCCAGCCATGGCGAAGCGGAGGGCGAGCGGCTGCGTCTGACCACGAGCGGGTCGCAGAAGGGGCGGCTGGTTTGCGGACCGGGGTTGAGACGCGGCGCCGACGGCCTGCTAGTCACCAAATGCGGCCTACTGCGATACCGTGGCCATTCCGCCCAGACCGGAAGTGGGAGCGGAAGTAGTTCCGGGGGAACCTATTGGGTGGACTCACAACAGAAGCGGGTAAGGGGGCTGCGCGTGCGCACTTCGGGGACTGGCTCTGCTTGTGGCCCCAGTGTCTGCAAATGTGTGCGTGGTTATAAAACAACGCAAGAAGATATAATAAAATAGTATACACTGTAATTTTATGTTAATAGAATAGAATTCTTTATTGGCCAAGTGTGATTGGACACACAAGGAATTTGTCTATATGCTTTCAGTGTTAATGAATAAATTAAATTAATTCATTATATTAAAGTATAATGATACATAATGCAATCATATTAAATTATATATGATTATATAAAATGTTATTTATATAAAATATATAACAATGATAAAATATATATATATATATATATATATATATATATATATATATATATATATAGTATATGTTACATAATAAATATAAATATTTGGGGCAGGAATGCTGTTTTTATGCACAGTGGCATTTTGCAAGAAAAAAACACACTATATTCGTGGTGGATTGCAGTGGAGGAGATGTCTGCATGATACCACTGCTTTGTTTTCTGTCCAAAAGAAAAAAAAATCAATTTTTTTCTTATTGCCAGTATGTCCCAGTGAAGGGAGATCATGTGATTGGCATAGTGACAGCCAAAGCTGGGGACATATTCAAACTGGATGTTGGAGGCAGCGATCATGCCTCTCTCTCTTACTTGGCATTTGAAGGAGCGACCAAGAGGAACAGGCCAAACGTGCAGGTGAGGAACACTCAAGCACCGTGAGGAGCAGGAAAACCATCCTTTTGTACCCAGGGACATTTCTGAGCAGACCTGGGTGGAATTTGAGCTATGACTTTAGAGTTTGGTGTTCAATGTCAACATGTTTGATCTGGCTTCATGATTTGATCTTGTGGTTTGCCCTGAAAGCAGTGGTGAAATCCGAACTGGTTTGCTACTGGTTCGCTGTGTGTGCATGCGCAATACACGCCAAAAGGAGGCTTGGGTAAGTAGAACAGTGAGGGGGCGGGGATCAGCTGTGCCGCTTGATTTAGCTAAACCATGCAGCACAGCTGATTGTTGGAAATACTGGTTCGGAGGAACCGGTAGTTTTTTTTATTACTGGTTTGCTTGAACCTGTAGTTTTTATCCCAAATGGTTCGCCCAAACCAGAGCGAACCTGTAGCATTTCACCCCTGCCTGAAAGTGATTTCTTTCCAGCCAACGATAATGCCAAAAAGGTGGCCTCATTTTGGCAGTTTAGCAATAGTAATAGCATATAGTCTTATATATCGCTTTACAGCCCTCCCTAAGTGGTTTACAGAGTCAGCCTATTGCCCCCAACAATCCGGGTCCTCATTTTACCAACCTGGGAAGGATGGAACGCTGAGTCATCCTTGAGCCTGGTGAGATTCTCTGGCAGCCGGCAGATAGCAGAAGTAGCCTGCAAGAAAGAAAGAAAGAAAGAAAGAAAGAAAGAAAGAAAGAAAGAAAGAAAGAAAGAAAGAAAGAAAGAAAAAGGAAGGAAGGAAAGGAAAAGGAAGGAAGGAAGGAAAGAAAGAAAGAAAGAAAGAAAGAAAGAAAGAAAGGAAAAAGAAAGAAAGAAAGAAAAAGAAAGAAAGAAAGAAAGAAAGAAAGAAAGAAAGAAAGAAAGAAAAGTGTTCAGTCAGTACTTCTAATCCAGATAAAAACAGATGTGCCTGGGTTTATTCCTTGCAGTAAGATGTAGCTATTTTAAGAAGCTGCAGTGGGATCGGCTCTAATACCATCACATTATTATGGGTCACCAGGATGACTTAAATGTCAAAGACGTTATCTTAAGAGCAGGCAAACCTTTGGGGAACAAGGGCATGTGAGATAGCAAGCAGATTGTACATCTGGCTGTATGAATGCGAACTGGAAATGCAGCTCATTGATCTACTGAAGGCTAAATATTAATTATAATCATGTATTAATTAAATCATTAGCTTCTCTCTCTGGTTCTTTTCTCTTTTCCCTTTGGGGTATTGTTCATTAGATGAGGATACCAAGCTATAATAGGACAACATTTCACAAATCAGTTGACTGATGTGTAATGAACACATACAACAGATGAGCTTGGTTTTCCTGTTTAATGAGAACTAACAACACCATTGCTGTACTGGGCAAAAGATGATAACCTCCTTGAGTTGCATGGAGATACTGTGAATGCTCTTTTGTGCATGCTTCTGTTCTCATACAAAAGATCACTTTCCTTAAATTGTCTATGGAGCTTATCAGTCATCCAGGTCACGGTTGTCCCAAAGGTGCTTTTTCAAAAAACAACTGGACTTCCTTGGTTTTTCTCTTGAAGATGTTTCGTTTCTCATCCAAGAACTGAAGAAGCTTCTTCGGTGAGAAGCGAAATGTCTTCAAGAAAAAAAGTCCAGTTGCCTTTTGGGGGACACTTTCCTCAAAGGGAGTCATGCCGAACTAACCCCAATGTTGTGACTCCGGCTCCCAAGCCTGTCCTCACGGAGGAAGATGACTCTGAAAGTGATGGGGAGGAACTGACAAGGCCTCCCTCTCCAGGACCCTCCTTTCTGGCAACGCCTCAGGTTCCAGCTGAAGGCCAGGAGGAAAGCATGTCGGGGCACCCACTAATAGGGGGCGATGAAGATCAATCTTGGATTGATCCCAGCAGTGTCAGAGGGAGAGGCGGGTGCAGCAAAGGAAGAGGTGGGGAAGGGCCAGAGATTGCTGAGTCACTGAGCCATGCCCCACAGGGGATAAAAGTGGGTGGGGTTGCTCTGCAGGCTCTGTGATGGACAAAAACTGCATATTGTGAGCTTCGGATGGGATATTTTTCGGAATTAAGGCTTGGACTTCTGACTACTCTTTGAACTCTTAGTTGCCCCAGCAACAGACTACAGATACGCTGACTCCTGTTTCTAGAGGTGATAAGAAACTTGGCAGGCATTTGGAAAGTAGCTGCCAGAATTTTTATTTGCCAAAGGGATTCAGGTCGGCTTGTAAAAATAAATGACTGGTAGACATCTTTTGCTCGTGTGTCTGCCTATGTGAGGTGGGGGGACAGAACACTCGATGATCCTTCAGTGACTGCAATTTTGTTACTGTGAGATAGTAGTTCAGTTGTTGATCTGGAACCAGAGAGACCTAGGTTCAGGACCATTCTGTTGCCTACTTGAGGTACTTTGCACAGACTTTTTTTTCTTACTCCATCATCAGCAGAGTGATGAGGACACAACCGAAGTGGGTGTCCCTTTGTGCTTCTAATGAAAAAGGCAGAATGTAAATCTGTACTGTTAAATGGCTGTTTTTTCTTTCCTTCTTTAGGTGGGTGACCTTATTTATGGCCAGTTTATCGTAGCCAATAAAGATATGGAACCCGAGATGGTCTGCATAGACAGCAGCGGTCGGGCGAACGGCATGGGAATCATAGGACAGGATGGCTTTTTATTCAAGGTCTCGCTAGGACTGATAAGAAAGTAGGTATCAAGGAATTCTTATTCTGGAACTACGTAATTTATGTCTTTCCCATGTTTCCTAGTGTAGGTTTCTTTTTTAAAAAAAAATAGTTAACAGAGGTAGTCCTCAATTTAACGACCACAATTGAGGGATAGTTGTAACATGAGGCAAAACTCACTTAACAAATATCTCACTTAGCATTGACTTCCAACTCTTCTTAGCACAGTACAAGATAAACACACTCCAACCTCAACTTACTGCTTTTACACATTAATATATAACTAGCCATTCCTATAACACCAAATCTTTCTAATCAACAAAACCAAGGTCAAAGTTTCATTTTTTTTCTTCACAAGCACAAATTCTAGAAGTGATATCCAAATAAAAACACATTTTCCTCTTTGAATAAAAGAATCAATTTAACCATTCCTGCTTTATCTTCCTTGCTATGGAAATAATGTGTATTTCTATTTACACCTAGTAATCTTTGTAAACTGTCACCATTTTTATTTACAAAATTCATTGTATTCTTTCCAATTCTTTGACCTTTTTTTCTTTTTTTCCTTCAAAATACTAAAAAAAGCCTCCTTTTCTTTCTTTTTCTCTTTTCTCTTGTATCTCACCCCCTTTTCCCCACTCCCTTCCCTTAATTTCCTATTTTTTCTTATCTTCTTTGTATTTTATATAATAAAATAAAACCTTAATAATAGTTAAAAAACAAATGTCTCACTTAGCAACATAAATTTTGGGCTCAATTGTGGTCTTGAGTTGTACAGTAAATTTAGATTTGTGATTTTTTTTACTTCTGGTTTCTTCCTTTTGTCAAAATGTTTAATGGATTTCATTCACCATCAGCACTAGCTCTCTTCAATACACAGATCTCATCAGCATTTTCAGGAGTTTTGCTACTTTGATCTCCCCCCCCTCTCTCTCTCACACACACACACACTGAAAACTTGCACCCAAAAGCTTCAGAGAAGTTGTTTTATATCTTTACATGGAACAACAGTCTTCAGACCTTAGGCCTCATTTTATAACAATTCTGCTTTCCCAGAAAGGGGAAATTAAAAGCAGTCTTGACTCTTAACAAGGATATTTGGCTAGGGTTTCAAAGGAAAATAATCTATTAATAATTGAGATCGGATTGATGTCATGTATTGATTTCTTTTCTTCCTCTCTCTCCATTGTTTTAATTTCAGACTCTTGGCTCCAGATTGCGAAATCATATGGGATTTGGGACAACTTTATCCTTTTGAGCTAGTGTTAGGAATGAATGGAAGAATCTGGGTAAAAGCCAAAACAATTCAACAGACTTTAATAATAGCAAATGTTCTGGAGGCTTGTGAGCACATGACAGCCGAACAGAGGAAATGTGTAATTGTAAAATTGTTAGAAAACTAACAATTTAATTTAGGGGAGAGGATGATGATGATGATGATGCATGATAAATTTCCAGAGAGAGAAAGAGAAAATGCTGCATATTTAAATATTTTATAGGTATAAGATAAATACAAACTAGAGCTATTAATTCTGTGTATTTTTTGGTTGTTGTTTCTTGTACTGTAGTTCTGTAGTTAGTAGTGGACTTTTTGTAAAGTTTCCTAAACGACAGCCTTGTAAATATTGGTTGAAGATTTAAAAAAGGAAATACTTGCTATTTTTAAAATTGATCTTCGTTTCATTTTATTTGCAAATATGTACAGACCTTTTCATGAGGAATTTTTTAATTCACTGAGATGTATGTACATGCATCATGAGCATCATGAGTTGGATTTGCAAAATTAACGTTTGGCATTGAATTAGACTTCTCGGTTACACATTTATTTAGCTTTCTCTTAAAGCATAAAAATATAATCAAACATTACAGTGAAAACTTTGATCCACCTATTTATGTGAGTGGCCAAAACAAAGGTCGGAACATTTTAACCAAAATGAGATAAATAACAATGGCAGCAATTTTAAGGAAAAGAAAACTTTAGTTTGATTTATTATGGCACGATCACTATTGATTTCTTGCTACTTTGTAACTCTGTGATATTGATTCCTTTCTATTTTTGTTGGTTCTTTACTATTTTCTATTGATTCTGAAAGTAATTGTGGAATTGTTTTCCTTGCTATTTTTTAAAAAAGTTAATTACACATGGCAGGTTAGAAGAGTGGCTAGCCTTTAAGGGCTCATCAGGCAGCAGCTTAGAAATGCTCCTATTCTAGGAGCATTAAAATCTGGTGCTTTTATGCTGTCTATGTGCAGGAGGGCTTTGATGGCAGATGTAGCAATGCAGCAACCTAAGCATTTCAAAGGAGCCATGCTATTTCCCAAGATTTTGATTGGACATTGATCCTGGGTTTGGATCATTGCAGCTGAATCTCTCCTTTTTCTAAAAGTGGGATCCGTTTGTATTTTGTCAGCCATTGAGAAGATCTGGGCTATCCGTGGCTTAAATCAGTGCCTTTTGTCTTGTGAAATGGACATGGCCTTTCAGAAATCTGCAAAAGCTTGCTTGACATCTGCTGAGCACAGAGCTCTCCAGAGCAAATATATAAGAAAAAGGATATTCCTAATGTGGGAAGAAATATCCATCTGGTTCAGTTCCAAGGTAGGAGAAAGGCACTGGAGACAAAATGGAGGCTGATTGGAAAGATGATTTAGTGATGAAGCAGAATCAGATGGTGGTTCTGGTGCAGCTGACCACATGGGAGTTGAAAGTGGGGTTTTTTTATACCTTCTCTTGGGCTTTGCACTTGAGCTTCCTGTTCCTGTGTAAGAACATTGGCTGTTGTCAGACTCCCATGGGGCCTTAGTAGAGTAGTAAGTAATGACTCTTAGTAGAGTCATAGCTGACTCTATAGGCAAAGTACAAAGTCCTAGGAGCTAAGTTTGTCTGAGCTAAGTTTGGTTGACATTTCTGAGGGCGAGGCAATGAAGGAGCTTGTTGGGCAATTCCTATTGTGGCTGAGGGCTAATCCTACCTTTGTTCAGACCTTGCTGTAGGGAATTTCAAAATACCTTGCCTTGAATGAATTTCTGCCTGCAGTATTTGCTTTGCCTATGTATAAAGCTGTCTTTCTCTTTATCTCTTAAGTGCTGACCTCTGCTGTGGGCTATTAAAGAAGGGTGGGGGCTGCTTTCTCCCTCTAAAAAAGCTTCTCACAATATAATACCCTGCCTTTTTAATATTTCTCAAAATATTTCATTCTTCTAGGAGAGGGGTGGGTGCTAACCTTCTACACTAAGTTAAGTATGAAGAGGATGGAATGGAACCTACTCCTTATTTAATTCTTATTTGATGAGTAACTTCCGGTAATTTTTTGTTTGCCTGCAGAACATGGATAAGTTCCTCAGAGGACTGGAACAGCCCTTGGCTCTCTTCACCTTTTGACTTGCTCAGCCAGATGAGTCAGCTGCTTAGGTGGGTCATCAGGCCTTGAGTAAACCAAAGGTTGATCTTATCTCACTTCCATTGTATTTTTTTTCAGGCTTTAATTATTTACAGGCTTTAATTATTTATTTAGCGTATCGCATTTACAGAGGTAATGCAGTCACTGATCTATAAATATATATTTAAGTGTGTGTGTGTGTGTATCTCTCTCTCTCTCTCTCTCTCTCTCTCTCTCTCTCTCTCTCTATATATATATATATATATATATATATATATATATATATTTATATTTATATTTATATTTATATTTATATTTATATATATAACACACCTCCGCCCAATCAGAACACAGCCAAACTCCCACCCAATCAGTTCACACCCCCACTGGCAGTTAAAAGGAAGAAACAGCTGCGATCACACACATTGCTCCTAGAAGCACGAAGCCGAGAACACCAGCTCGAAGATGACGAATGAGACTTCGTCAAAACGTTGCCAAGAAACCTCCAATTTTACGCGGGAGAAAAACCGAATAACCAAAGACCAACATACAAACACCCGCGAAAACCTCAGAAAACAAATATATATATATATATATAGCACTTAGACATATACCACTTCACAATGCTTTGCAGCTCTCTATAAGGATTTTACAGAGTCAGCCCCCAACAATCTGGGTACTCATTTTACTGACCTCAGAAGGACGGAAGGCTGAGTCAATGTTGAGCCGATGACAATTGAACTGCCAAACTGCTTGAAGCCAGAATCGCTTAACAACCGTGTTCAGTAATGGCTGCAGTGATTCACTTAGCAACCATGGCAGGAAAGGTCACGAGATGGGGGCAAAAATTCACGGAACTACTGTCTCACTCAGCAACAGAAATCTGGGACTCGATTTTGGTAATTAAGTCAAGGACTACCTGATTAGAAAGAGCTTTAGCAAAAGTTAGGCTGTTCAGAGATTGTGAAACCAAATCGCAATGGCCTTTAGAGGTACACATATTTAATAATTTGAAATGCAAAGAAAGAAGCACCTTTGAAGCAGCCCATGGTTAATGTTGCTGTGAGTCTGTGAACAATGGTGAATATAAATCTAATGAAGAAGTGAATAAAATAAGATGGTGCTCTGTGTTCTGGGACTACATCATCACAAACATATCTGTGAAATCTCCAGGAATCCTTGTGTTGTCCATTCAACTTAGTTAAACCCTGGCCTGGCCTTAGGTTCACTTGCTTTTTGTGCCCTGCGTAGCTTATCAAAGTAGCCAGAGAATAAAATGAATGAGCTGGAAGGAACCTTGGAGGTCTTCTAGTCCAGCCTCCTGCTCAAGCAGGAGACCCTATACTATTTCAGATAAGTGACTGTCCAGTCTCTTCTTAAAAACCTCCAGTGATGGAATGCCCATGATTTCTGAAGGCGCTTGCCTTCCACTGGGTAAGTTTCTCCTTAATTCCAGGTTGCTTCTCTTCTTGATCGGTTTCCATCCATTGTTTCTTGTTCTGCCTTGTGATGCTTTGGAGAATTTGACCGCCTCTTCTTTGCGGCAGCCCCTCAAGTACTGGAATACTGCTATCATGTCACTCCTAATTCTTCTTTTCTTTATACTAGCCAAACCCAAATCCTGCAGCTGTTGTTCATATGTTTTAGTTTCCAGGCCTTTGATCATCTTAGATGCTCTTCTCTGAACTTTTTCCAAAGTCTCAATATCTTTTTTGTATTATGGTGCCCAAAATTGGTTGCAGTATTCCAGGTGTGGTCTTAGAGATAAGCGAGGCCATTCTTTTAAAATGGTGGATGAGACTTCATACAGCTTAGAAGTGATAACACCGAGACGTTTACTTCGGTGTCTCCCCTAAAGCAGTTCTCCGAATCTGGAAATACTGGGTGATTTTACTGCCAGGCTCCAAGATCCCCTTCCTGAGAAGGTCCTGAAGGTGTCAATGTATGGATCCAGAGAGCAGAAATGTTGTTTTTCTGTTCAAGAGTCACGTTAGGGTTTGGAGTAGAGTCCCAATATCCTCAAACCTGCCCAAAACCACAATTTCAGCTCATTTCCCAAAAATTCTGTGCCCATTCCATGCTTTCCAACTTCTGTCCCACTCTGAATTACCAGCCCTGGGAGAACCTGCATTCAGGACTTCCTCAATCTGGCCATTGGGATTTTCCCACTCCTTCCATAGACTTCCCCAGTGGTCACAGTCAAGGCTGAACATTACAGGAATTGAAACATCTCACTTTTCGGTCCCGCAACCCCTTCACGCAACTCATTTCATCATCTGAACCCCTTTTCTCTGTTTGGAGGCTGTAACCCAGGCTTGTTAAAACCAGGGCTGCAATACTCCAGGACGGCTGCTAGGGGGGGTAAAATACAAGGAAAGAGACCAACAACCACCCTGGGGTGTCAACGCGCAGTGTTTTGCAGCCCAGTTTTGCAGAGATGCTATTCTGAGCCAAAGCCAATCGGTATTGGGTTAGCTGAGCCCGACAAACACATCCACACACATCTACAGCTCTTCCGAAGGACAAAAGAAACATCAGCTTTGCAAACTAGGCGGCTGCAGCCCTTTTGGGCCTACGGATCAAAGGGCTTTTTTGCGCATCGCTTGGTTAAAACCCTGATCGCTCCGGATGCTGGATTGAATCGCCGTCTCACCGATTGATTTAGTCGGCCTGAACGGAGACTCCCCCGCCCCCGTGCCCTGGGGGCTTATGGGCTATGGGAAGGCTGCCAGAGCTGCGGATTTAGGCTGCAGGTGAGGACAGGTGTGGGCTGGCGGTTGTGGTGCAGGAGCGCGGGGATGGAGAGCCGGCGAGAGCATCATTTGCAGATCTGAATGTGAGTTCGCGATCCTTACGCCAGCCAAGGCGGGTGTCAAGCCTTGCAGAACCCCCTCTCCCCGGGAAGCGGTATTTGTCCTCTGCAAAGACTCAGGCTTGGGGGCTTTATCCCCCCCCCTTTGGAAGTTTATGGGTGCCACACCGAGAGCATCATCCACTCCCAGTGGGAAAGGACTGGTGGTGTGGAGAGATGAGTTATTTTACGAAAGATTCACGCGTGGACTCGGCTCGGAGCTGCAATTAGTCGGGCGGCCGCTAGAGAGCAGCAGAAAGAGGTGGCACATTTGGTTGGTTGCCGCCCTCTAGTGGCCATCCGGGGTTTTGCAGCGGGGTGGGGGGAGGGTTAGAAGCACTGACCACGGGGACCAGGTGCCAGAAGCAGCAGCGTTGATGCAAAGTGGAGAAAGCAAGGTAGACCTTAAACCGTTTCCCATCTCTTGGTTAAAAAAATAAAATAAAACCCAGGATAGACCTATTTGCAAAATCCTCAGGAGTCCAGCTAGAAGGGAGGAGTCCGCGGGGTGGCTCTTCGAACTTGGTGCTTTCTGCAACTGGAGTAAGGGGTTGGGACTAGATAACCTCCAAGATCCCTTCCAACTCTGATTCTATAATCCTGTAAGCATCTCCAGGGTTGAGTTTGGGGGTGGGATTGGATCACCGCCAAGATCCCTTCCAACTCTGCGATTCTGTAAGTTCCCTGACTTTGTATTTGGAGAGGCTTAGATTCAAGCTTGCTTTTCCGACCCCCGCCGTTCCTCTCCCCCTTTTGCTGCTAGCTACGAATGTGGGATAGAAACAAGCTTGGATAGGAACTTTTGTCGAAATCGGGGAGCAAAGCCCCATTTCATTGCATGCACGTTTGTATCCGATCTTTTTATCCTGCAGAAACAGAAAACGTGGCTCCAAAGGGGGTTACGAGCCCTTCCTTAGGACAAAGGACCTCTGCTGCTTTTGTGTTTTAAGAATTTTCCCCCACCCCCATGGAAATGTCATTTTTTTCTCTGTTCTCTTGCGCTCCGATCACATGTTTGGGAATGCAATGCAGTAAAAGCAAATAACGCCAGTGCAAAGAGTCACAATTTGTGCAATTAGGAAAACTTATGGGTGTTTTATCGCTTAGAAGGAATGCTACGAGAGAAAGCTAGCTGTTTCAGGTTTCCCTGCAGGTTTTTCAGATGTAAGTGTTTTTAGGTGTGCGCTCCGAATGAGGCTTAAGAAATAAACCTATTTAGCTTCACCAAAGACAGGAAAACGGGACGACCGCGATTTCTTCTTTTTTTTTATTGGCTAGGTCAGAGGTACAAATGTTGAAAAGAGGTTTCTCTATTTCCGAAAGCCTTATTCTGCTCAATCGGGACACGCGTAGGTTCAACCGCATTGAGAAACTGGATTCGGTAAGAATAATAAAGTCCTGGTTTCTTACAGACATTTTTGTAGAATCGGCTCCAGAGGTTTGCTTACCGCAAAGTTGAGTTATTAGGGTTGCTGGTGGGGTTTCCTTAACAAAAAAACCCACAGGATTGTGTGCTCAAATAAACTCAGATTGCCAAAAAAAGAAAGACCAAAAAAAAAAAAAAAACCCCTTCCCCCAAATATTTTAAACTAAATTATTTTTATCTTATTGAATTCAGGATTTCCCAGTGGGTGTCTATGCAGATTCTCAGTCATCCAGGTCATGGTTGTCTCAAAGATGCTTTTTCAAGAGGCAATTGTCCAGTTGCCTCTTGAAAAAGCACCTTTTGGGTTGCCAGTGGTGTTTGCCAGTTCCCTCCCTCCTCCCGATTTTGTATTTAAATAAACCCAGATTTTAAATACGCAGAAAAGATAAATCAGTTTAAACCATTATTTAAACCTATTTAATACATATCATACAATCTAATGTATAGAAAAAAATAGATTTTGTTAAATTTTAATTTTTTTAAAAAAGAAGCAACCTAGATCTGGGTTTGAAAACCTAAGGTGGACCTGATAATTAACTGGATTTGCTTGCCACCCTTAATCTGAAACAAACAAGTGGCATTGTGGGTGGGACTATAATTTATTAAAGCTGCCTCATGTGCTGTTGAATGGAATTAGAATGGAATTAAAATATACAGGGTGGATACAAGCTGTAGCAATTACCTTCAAAGTTGCATAGGAGACCTCAGGTTGTTGCATCCCTGAACATGTCTCAGTGCAACTCAAAACTTATGCATGTAAATTGTAAGCTTTAAAAACCCTGCAGTTCCTTTTTAATATGCAAAAATAGCCCTGGGTGCAAAATAAAATAAAAATAAATAAAAGCAGTGAGATCAGTGCATTCCTTCATGTGAAGTCAGTTAGTGAACATTCATAGTTCTTAATGTAGAATGATTTCCAGTTAATCTTCCATTTAAAAACTGTTCGTTTAGCCAACATTTTAAGTTATGACAATACTGAAAAAAAAACCTTTCAGCAGGTCCTTGCCCTTGTGTCCATTGCAGCGTGCTCAGTACAGGTAGTCCTTGACTTACGACCACAATGGAGCCCAGTGTTTCCGTTGCTAAGTGAGATGAGTTGAGTTTTGCTCATTGTACGACCTTTCTGGTCACAGTTTGTTAAACGAATCGCTGCAGTCAGTCACATGGCTTCCCCCTTGAATTTGCTTGTCAGAAGGTTGCAAAAGGGGATGGCGTGAGCCGAGCACACCTGAGAACATCATAAATACGAGGCAGTAGCCAAGTGTTCAAAGGTTGATCACATGACCATGAGTTGCAATGCAATACAGTGTTCGTAAGTGTGGAAAATGGTCATAACCCCCTTTTTTCAGTGCTGTTCGAATGGTCACTAAATGGAACTGTTGTAAATTGAGGACCACCTGTATTCCGTTGCTGGGCATCTAGCATGTATTTATGACTGTTGCAGCATCTCAGGGTTACTCGATCTCCATCCGTGATCTTCCCAGCTAGCTTTGGACAAACAAACTCCATTGGGAGAGCCTGGATTTGCAGATTCAAAGCTGGATTTGCAGATTTAGTAACCATGGTTGATTCAGTTAACAATCGCGGCCCCCCAAAAAAAGGTAGGTAAAGTGGCAACAAGTCACTTAATGACCACTTTACTTAGTGATGAGCATTCCAGTCTCGGTTGTGGTCGTAAGGTTGAGGACTACCTATTTTGGGGAGAGATGTTTCTAACCGAAAAGAATTATTTATTCAATTTATTTGCTGCCCGTCTCTCTGCAAGATTGTCATAGCCCGTGTGGTCCCCAAAGTGCTTTTTCTTTTTAAAAAATTTTTATTATTATTTTTATAACATAATATAACAATACAAGACATACAACATTTATATGAATACTCTTTTTACAGCGATTTCGTGATGGTCTTTCTTTGTTATTCACAATTTCCCCTTATTTCTCTTTATATTATTCCAATTTACTACTTGTCCCCTTCATTTTATTTACAATTATTTGTATACAATTATTTACAATATAAATACAACTCCATTGTATGGTGATTTGGTGAAAGAAAATCACATGGTGAAACATTCACAATATTTGTTTAATGCCTCAGCCTTAAATGGGTTAGATTTCTGGTATTATTGGGCTTCAGTTCAAATTTGAATGTAGAGAATAAATTCTTTCTGACTCAGTCTACGGAATAATTAGGGACCGACTTTAGTGACTGTTCAAAGTTACCGCGGCACTGAAAAAAGCAACTTATGACCATTTTTCACATTTACAACCGCTGCAGCCTCCCCATGGTTGCGTGATCAAAATTCAGAGGCTTGGCAAACTGGTTCATGTTTATGACAGTTGCAAGCGCCCGAGATCACATGATACCATTTGGCAACCTTCTGACGAGCAAAATCCATGGGAAAATCGGATTCACTTAATAACAACTTACTAAACAACTGCAGTGATTCACTTAACAACTGTGGCAAGAAAGGTCGTAAAATGGGACAAAATTCACTTAACAAATGTCTCGCTTAGCAGCAGAAATTTGGGGCTCAATTGAGGTCGTAAGTCGAGGACTAATGGTAAATGGCGACCAAGGCAAGAAAAAAAAAAGCACGAAGAAATGCGGCAGAGGTAAAAAAAAAATGTATATAAAGGAGCTTTCTCAAAAGGCAACTGGACTTTCCTTGTTTTTCCTTGAAGACGTTTTGCTTCTCGTCCAAGAAGTTCAGAAGTGAAGAAGCTTCTTGGATGAGAAACAAAACGTCTTCAAAGAAAAACCAATAAAGTCCAGTTGCCTCTTGAAAAAGCACCTTTGGGACAACCGTGACCTGGATGACGGAGAATCTCTATTGACATTTCTGTCAGGTATATATGCATACAAATAGCAAATAGATTTCTTTTTTCATTTTATTGTATAGATTTTATTTATTTATTAAATTACTTCAGTTTTTAAAAATGAAAATTTAAAACTTTAAATCAGTTTAGACGTTTTCTTCCAGCTATACTGAGTTCACATAGTATGGTACAGATAGTCCTCAACTTACAAATGTTCATTTAGTGAATGTTCAAAGTTACAACGGCATTGACAAAAGTGACTTACGACTGTTTTTCACATGACCGCATCCTCATGGTCAGGTGATCAAAATTCAGACGCTTGGCAACTGACTCGTATTTATGATGGTTTTAATATCCTGGGGTCATGCGATCCCCTTTTGTGACCTTCTGATCAGCGAAGTCCATGGGGAAGCCGTATTCACTTAACAACTGTGTTACTAAATTAACAACTGCACTGATTCGCTTAACAACCATGGCAAGAGCACATTGTAAGCCGCCCTGAGTCTTCGGAGAAGGGCGGCATATAAATCAAATTTAAAAAAAAAAAAAAAAAGTTGCAAAATGGGGCAAAGCTCACTTAACAAATGTCTCGCTTAGCAGCTGAAATGTTGGGCTCAATTGTTGAGGACTGTTCTGACCCAGACTTAGCAGATGCAAGAAACAGACTCCTTGTCACGAAAACTCCGTCTTTATTTACCTCTTGTGAATTAATTGCATTCACCCACCAAAAAGTCCAGGCAAGAGTC